TGATCTCACTTCCTCCAGTCATTGCTTGTTCTCTCGTACTGATATGCAGATAGACCCCGAGACGATTCAACTTGTGCCTACGAGAACTACCTTCTCATCCGCCAATCCTGCTCGTAATGCAGGCAAAGGTATCGATTCTCCAGATCGACCCGCCCTCCGCGAAAGCGAGTCGCAAAGCAAACTCAGCTATCGTACAAAAATCGATGACAGTGACGATCGTCCCCGGCGTGATATGCTGCGACCGAAGCCTGGTGGTGATGGTGTCGACCAGGAGGGTTGGATGGAGGTGAAACCTCGAAAGAGTTTTGGTACTGAAGGAGCTGAGCGATTTACTGGGCGCATGGGCGGAGAGAGGCACCGAGATGAAAAGCGATTCAAGGATCGAGAAGAGCGCGATCCAAAGGAAAGACCTAGAGGGTTTGAGAATTTCTCCCGAGACAAGGAAAAGAATCATGAACAAGACAATAATCGCAGAACTGGAAATGGTCGGGGAAGAACAGAACCTACTTGGTTCCGAGAGAACAACGATGGGCCGCCAACACCCCGAGAGCGAAATACGAATGCAGATAGGTTTGAGAATCGAAATAAAAGTTGGCGAGAAAAAGAGTTCGATAATCGTGGGGACAAGGACAGAGGTGACCGACGCTGGGCAGACAGGAACAGAGCTCACGACGACCATAATGGTGATGTTCCAGCGTGGGCGGAAGACGAAAGTATTCAAGTCGCTCCACAAGATGACTTTCAAAAATCGCAAACATCTACTGGCAATAATGAGCGCAAATTTACAGCAGAGGATATGCAAAAATGGAAAGATGCAATGCATTCCAAGGATAAACCAACTGCCAAAGGTAACACAGTGGCGGAAGAAGCCACGCAGTCAAAGGTTGACGAACATTCTTCTATCTCTGGCACACAAAAGCCTGTCTCCCTTGCGCCACTTGATACTGGGTTTAATGGAGATGAGTTTTTCCGTTTGTGGGCTCAGCCAAAGAATGACAATGGACTCGCATCACAGTTTGATCTGAATACAGAAAACATGACAAAATCTGCCGTGTCCGCTGCACCGGGTGGGAAAACCTCAAGGTTTAACAAATTCTTCACTCAAGATGAGACTTTGCAAAAAGCGGAACCACAAACAGCTATACCAAAGCCAGCGGCCCATAGACTTGACGGTTTGACCAACAATGTTCAATCCCCTGCGGATAAAGAAGCAATGCCAATGATACTTGCAATGCTACAATCCAGTGGAACTCCTCCTGCGAATCCTATGATGCAATCGAAACCTCCCGCACAAGATACCCAACCAAGTACACCTTTTGAGGGCCGCGATTCTTCGCAACAGCGTCTTCCAGACCGTCATGATGATATGAGACCGGCTGCTCATTTATATCCCCACAACCTACATGATCTTAGCGCTCAACGTGAACAAGCAGGTAGTCAACCAACTGTACGTCCAGAAGAAATGTTGAATCATTTGGTCAACCAGCGTCAGCATGCTATCAGTCAGTCTTCTTTCAGAGGTGAACAGCCTCGCTCCGAACAGACTGCATTCCTTATGAGCCTCATGAGAGAAGCACAAGCAGCTCCAGAGCCTCAAAGAACAGAGCAGATCATCCTTGGCCATCCACCCAGACAACAACCTAGCCGTCAACTCCAACATCAACAACAATTGGAAAGGGAACAGGACTTACAAGCTCAGCGCGAGCGTGGAAATCCACAGCGTCGCCCACCTGGATTTTTTGACGAACCTATTTATCGGGGTGGACCTCCTCCACAACATGATAACCCACGGCCTCAACCCACACACATTCTTACACGACCACCTCCAGGTCTCGAGCAATTGCAGCAGCAAGGCTGGCCAGGACAGCCTTCCGCTCAACATCCTCCTCCTCCGCAACAATTCCGACCAACGGCCCCTCCTGGTCTAGGCGGAAACGTCCCACGGCCGATGCAAATGCCTCAGCAAATTCTCCCACCGGGCTTTCAAATGCCTGGCAACATGAGCAACTTTCCCCCTCCAGAGGCACTAGCGGGTCCTCGAAATATGCCATTTAATCCGGCCTACTTTAACGGCCCACCGCCGGGTTTTCTTCCACCAGCTATGAGTCCTTTCTCAGCGGAGGGCATGCCGGCATTTCCTTTCGATGGTCGTGGGCCACCTCCTCCACAAGGTGCATTCAGACGACAATAGTTTGCACATGGGTGGGTAAGAAAGAAATCGCTTAATCATCATAGTGGTAGATGATATCAGGGATGGATGGGCATTAAGGGTTACAATGAATGATTGTCAATGATGGCCGTAGAAGTGTGTATGTAGAGTATCTTTTGACCTTTAGTGACACTCATCTGGATGATCAGGGAACGGATCTCAAATGTTTGTCAGTCGAATGCGTTTGTGCGTTAAGAACAGCAGTGAGAGGTTGCGATTTACCTACGTAGCGTCAGCATCGAGCGTGTGTGATGCAAGTTTTTTGACTTGATACCAAGATCCCCTTATTTAGCTAGCTATATTTGTGGAGAGGTTTTACTCTCGCGTGAATGATAATTTCAAGCACGTTCAACCACCGCGTTTTTTGTATCATTTCAATTACTTCGTGATTTTGTAAGGTGTGATAGGAGAGGTATATCGATATGGGCTGGTGCATTGTCTGATTAGGAGAGAGCTGTCTATATTGGGTAGCAGAGGGTAAGCGTAAGTCTTGTTGCATATCTGTTGTACCATGGTAATCAGGAAATTTCCATTGGAAATTGGGGAATTACCATGGAAAAACGCGATATGCAACAAGATTTACAGAATTTTCAGGGTAGCAAAGAAGTTGGTCATGCAATTCTAAAGGTCTTCAGTACCTTATTTGGAGTACGATGTGCATATCTAACAATACAGCAGTGCAAGAATGAAAATATAAGGAAAGATCAAGATGCTAGAGCTCAGATGTGCAACTATCTACAAAATTTTCAATACTGTAATATGTGTGCTGATTTAAAAGCAATTGAAGGTGATCTAGTGAGCTTCTATAGTTATTTTGAGTTTGGTTTGGCGTTTGCTAGTGGTGAACTAGGGGAGTTTGGGGCTAGCTGGTGTAAGTAGAAGATTTATTAGGGCTTGTCGAGATTTTGTATTTGGGGATGGAGTGAAATGGGCGTCTGGTGCTGGGGATTTATCTAGGGGAATGTGGTTAAGCTTGTGCTATCTTAGTATGAGTCTTTCAGCAGATATGAAAAATAAATTTGGCTTGCGTGAAGGGAGTATGTGGGTTGTGTACATGAGTGAGGAACAAAATCAATACAAATTTGACTGTAGTCCCGCAACATTAATTCCTTACAATTTGCGCGCAAGTAGCAAGATACTGTCAATCAAGACCTCCAAAACTTAGGTATTTCATGTGGAGCACGTCATATGATAGCATAGAGTTAGTTCGATGTCGTTTGAAGCAGCCCTGTATAGTTGATGTTCAGCACTCGATCAGCAACCCCGCCCCCACCCCGCCATCCCCCCATATCTTCGTGTGCCTTGCTTATTCTCATCTGGGCTCGCTGGATGTAGAGAATCTGATTGGACCCATTTTATCAATATTCGAAACACAGGAATGTTAGACGACCTAGATCGCGGAAATAAGAGCAAGATGAACTTCCGTCTAGCTATCAATACTCGCCGAATCCGACCCTTCTCGGCGTCTTCAAGATCTTAGATTGCAATACGACTTGAGAGGTTCAGTAGCCGGAAATATGTGAGCATGTGGAAATTACCTGACTGTTTTGATGATTTAGGTGATTCAAATGCAAATGAGATAATGTTTCAAAGAGATTTAACACATGATGATTCAAAAAGAAGGAACAAATTTTTGTTATTGGAAACCTCCACTTCCCCTGATTAAAAACGATTGCCGAGCCTAGCTTCAGCAACAAAGTGCTCCTCTTGGGCTAAATAAAAATTGATAGATATCAATCAATGTCTACACTGAGAGACGACGCAATGGCTTTTCTCGTTACAACCCCGACGATACGCTTCAAAGTATAAGGATAGATCCGACGTTGAGATGATGTCGGTGAGATGATATCTGGACCCTCAATACTACCAGCCAGGTTAGTCTTCACAAAGCCTGCTTATTACTCATAGTGACTTCCATATTCTAGTGTTGCCAATTGATGGGACATAACTATTCTTTTGATAAAGGTAATGATATCTCGGCACACCAGCTAGGTGCTTCGACCGTTCTCTGAAAATGCTAGCACTCTGAACAATTGGGAGAGTAGAAGCACGTAGACTTAATAATCTTGTACTTTATATCTACACTCGGAGTACTCAGATTGCATTGTTCCCTTTGATCGTTTCTCGCATGTTCCTGAGACAGCTTGTGGATACTTGCATTAATACCAAAGATCCGCTCCACCATCAAACAAAATTTCAAGCCGGATGTTCTTTGGATATATTTAATCCGTAGAGGGTTGCAATCTAGAAGAGTAGGTGAAAGACCACTATCGATCATCTTTTGCCCTTGTGAAGAGATCGCATGCAGTTTGATAGTCATTCTGTGAGCACTTACTCCAGAGGAATCATTTGTAGACAGTATGTATACTGCTGTGAGCACCTGATTCATAGAACTCATTCATAGACACAGTAATATATATAAATAAAGGAGAGGGAAAGATTCATATCGGTTTAATTATGATAATCATATTGAGACATTGTAAATCTATATAAAACAGCATGTCGTCGTAGCTTTGATTGAGCTTTGGTCTTTCTGTGCCGTCCTGTCTTCACTCTGTATTAGCGCATAAGCGGCCGCCTCACGAAACAGCCATCATGTTTCTGTTTCCAATGTGAACATGACCCCGCCAAGAATCAAACTCCCTTTCAATCAAACAACCACAAGAAAACACAAACAATCATTCTGTGCTACTCATTCGATACTGAAGACTAATATTCCTTAATTTCACTACTTGAACCTCTCGAAAATACCTCTAAAAAGTCTACACCAACAAGTCATACACCGCCCATCATGGGGGTGTCAGCCATTGACGAACAGCGCCAGGGTAAGCTCGAATTCATGAATGTTGGGAAATGTATACAAACTGATATAATCTATAGCTATTTTGGATGCCATAAAGTCAATCACTCGAGGCGACGTATGTTTTCCCACTCCGCGATCGAATTTATGCTGAAACAACTGTAGTGGAAGGTGCTCGTCATCGATGAGGCGACCAAAAAGATTGTGTTTAGTGTCCTGAAGGAAGATGACATTCTCAACGAGAATATCGCCAGTATGTGGATTTATGCGTGCTGAGAGGGCGCTACTAAAGTGATCGCAGATGTGGAAACACTCGAAAGCAGGAGGGAAATGAATCCAGGCATGGATGCCATATACCTCCTATCACCCGAACCACATGTTGTCGATTGTTTGTTGGCAGATTTCGAACGTCGAAGATATCGCAAGTCATTCCTAGTATGGGTCGCCCTTCTCGATCCAACGATGCGCCGGCGTATCGATTCCTCCAGACAAGCACAAGAACAATTGGGCGGATGGGAGACTCTATCCATAGATTTCTATCCACGCGAGTCGCATCTAATAACATTCAGAGACCCTTGGAGTTTTCCCATCTTATTCCATCCAGCATGCGCTCCTTTGGTGCGCGATCATATGCAACTTCTAGCGCAAAAGGTAGGATTCGTTGGTCAATATGAGCTACAGAATGGAGACTGATTTGATACATAGATCACTGGAATCTGCGTTTCTCTGGGAGAATCCCCGAAAATACGTTACTATAGACCCAAGAATCCTACACATGAAGCAGCGGTTCTTTGTTCTCATCTAGCCAGATTTGTTCAGGAGGAGCTTGATGCGTACCAACAATATAACCCCAGTTTCCCACCGCAATCTAATCGACCTCAAGGTGTTCTACTCATAACAGACAGATCAATGGACACATTAGCACCAATACTGCACGAATTCACATACCAAGCCATGGCACACGACCTCCTTCCAATCAAAGACCACGATAAAGTCACTTACACAACTGTGTTGAATGAAGGGACTGCGCAAGAAGAAGAAAAAGAAATGGAAATCACTGAGAAAGATAAGATTTGGGTAGAAAATAGGCACCAGCATATGAGTAAAACTATCCAGAAGTTAATGAGCGATTTCAAGAAGTTCATCGCAGATAATCCACATTTCGCAAATCAAGATGCGGAAAATGTCAATATCAGTCAAATCAAAGATATGTTAGCAGGGTTGCCACAATTTCAGGAGATGAAAGAAGCATACTCTTTACATTTGAATATGGCACAAGAATGTATGAACATCTTCCAACACCATGAGCTCCCGGAAATCGCGTTGGCGGAACAAACTCTAGCCACGGACTGGACGAAGATTACCGAAAACCCAAGGAGATGGGTGCACAAGTTGTTCGTCTATTAGATAATCCAGCTGTTGCTCCCAAGGAACGATTACGACTTATTATACTTTATGTCATATTCCGAGACGGATTGATTACGGAAGATCTAGAACGTCTTTTACATCATTCTGGGCTTCCCCTCTCAGAAATGAATGAAATCTTAAACCTAGAATTACTAGGGGTACACACCACGAAGAAACTTACAGACTCGAAAACCAAAGCTGTACCAACTCCATTATTTCCACCAAAACCTATACCTACTGTAATCAACGAAGAACTTGCCCTGTCTCGATATGAAACCAATCTCCAACGCTGTCTCGAAGAAATCACCAAAGGGACTTTAGATCCAAATATCTTCCCTTACACAAGACCTCCCACTGACCCGTCTGAGGAAATGGCTCTTCAATCACAAGCTTCGCTTCGTAGCGCCAAGCCTACATGGGCTCGTGGGCGTAGTACCACCCCAGATAACATGCAAAGAATTATTGTTTTCATGGCAGGTGGAGCTACTTACTCAGAAGCAAGAGCTTGCTATGAAATTTCAAAGGATTGCAACAGAGATGTATTCTTAGCTACCTCACATATGCTCAACCCTAACTTGTTCCTGAAGCAAGTGGGAGATTTGACGGCCGGAAGGAAGCAATTAGATTTACCAATTGACAGACCAAAACCAAAAGCTCCGGCCTATCTTTTCAAAGCTAACGATCCGCCTCCTCCTCCACCCGTTGTCGCATCACCCAGACCTCAAGTAGGACTTGGATTACCGGGCGGACCAGGGAGTGCACCTGGAGGTGTAAGACCTGCGAGAAGCCCAGGGGCTCCGGCTCCGCCAATGAAGAGTCCAGGATATGACAGTAAGCCTTTGGCTGCAGGAATGCAACAGATGTCTCTGAATGGGGCAGGAGATGGAGCAGGACATTCCTCCGGTAAATTGGAGAAGAAGAAAGGTGAGGATGGAAAGGAGAAGAAGAAGAAGATGGGATTTTTCAGGAGTAAGAAATGAGCGAACATAATCCAGCCTTTGGACCAGAGCGATTTCGATGAACATGGAGCGAACGTAGGGAAAATATTGAAATCGTGGTCAAAGACTTTATGCATGGAACCAGGGCTCGGGTAGCGATATGCCTGCATCCAGGGAGTGAGAGCCAAAGATATGTTCTAAAAGTGTGAAGAGCAAATGAAGGAATCGAAAAACATCGAACAATATTTGCAGAAAGGATTATGACAGATATTGAAGGGACACATTGGTAGTCGGTGAATGAAGTATACAGGATGTACAAGATAGACGAGCGGCGCAGGAACAAGAGTAGCATGAGCGTGTAATAGGAAATTGAAAATTAATTTATATAATATGCTTTGGTTCAGCTTGATACGATATGGTCTGATGTTTCCTAGAGGGTGATTTTCAATCTTTAAGGTTCACATAAGAGATATGCTGGCAGTGTTCAGGAAGCTCACCGGGAGGTAGAAAAAAAGAAGGGGAGAGAGGGTTCATCAGGAATCGTGGACCAGACGAAGTTCACAAGTTGAAGTCACGAGTCATCACAGTGTCCAATTGGGTCCATTTTAAGGTTGTTTTAATTCATTAAACTATATCAAATGTGAGCTGTCCATGATCTATCCTGTCTAGTTACATCCGAATGCAGTATTTGTGTGTCCGTTCTGTATTTTCGTTATCATATCTCAGGGACCCTCGATATGCAAATAAAACAAACTGTGCGAATATTTTTGCTCAATTCTCGTTCCTGACTACCGTAAGCTTATCACTTTTTAATGGCACCAAGATACTATGGATCCTTTTAGGAATTTTCCCTTGCCTCGATGGCAGCTTGTAGCGCAGCAGCCTCCTCCCATCCCTTCAAAGCTGCTGCATTCTCCTCGCAGAAGTTCTTGCATGCTCTCTCGAAGACCGTGGCATTCGAATCTGCAGCCATTTCCTGGTACTCTCTCACGTTATCTAATCTTATAAAAAGTCTAAACTGCTCCAGTATCTTTCTCTCGACTTGGTTCGCCAGTGCGAGCATCTGCCAATAATCTGCACCTTTATGCAAATCCAGTAATAGATCTAATTTGTGGTCATTGGCGTCGGCATCTTGAGGGGACACTAGGCCAACAGTCATCTCCTCCCAGTTGATTGGTTCTTCGTAAGCCGTGTCAATGAGAATGCGAAGTGTGTGAGCCGTCATCAAATCCAAGAATATCTCTTGATCATTACGCCAGCGACCAGAGAAACTGGCGGTACAGTAGCCAGATGCGCATGCCAAACAACTCTGTGCGCGTGAAAACGAACATTCTCGGCGACAAAAACGATATCTATCATCTGCTTTTCTTTGCGGTGGCCACGAAGACTGCTAATCAGTGATTGCGCTGATTGAGGTGCAGGCAGCTCGACGGTGGGGTGATAAATCGACTTGCAGCCAAGTTCCTTCAACAATTTTTCATATGGACTCAAACTTAGTCGAATACACTCTAACGGTGGCGCATCAGTGGAGCTGATGAGCAAGAGGTGCTGAAGAGGCTTCCATGAAGACTGCAAGTCTTCAATGGTGACATGCACAGGATCTGAAATGTCCAAGTTGAGCCAGAGATCAGTTCGGTCCAAGCTGTGAGCATGTACCCCGAAGTACTCTTTGCTGCGCACAAGATTGTTTTGAAGATAGTCATATATTTTGAAGAGATCCGACAGAAAATCCGGAATGTCTGCGCGAAAAATTTTCTTTGATATCTCTACCATGTGCTCAAGATGCTTCCAGACCTCAATCATGAATGGTTCTCCATGTTTTGGTACCTTGCTTAAAATCTCTGCAGTTGGTTCCAGGACCACAAATTGTGTGTTGCTCCAACAGATTGCCGCATGTTTGTAGAGGACAACGTCAGATAATGGAATTGCTGTACTGCACTCTGAGACTCTGTCCATGCTCCCTCGTCGATAAGATGGTTCGCGAGAATTATCTTTTCGGACTACGAAAATCGTTTTGCGTGCAAGTGCGTTCCAATCATGGTGATCGAATCGATGCGTGGCGGAACTTGGAGCAATTAGTGGCGACAAAATTTTCGTCATTCTTTCGTGTATGATTGACGTTGGATCCACTAGTATTCCGTAGTCATTAGATTCAATTAAAGCTTCTAGAGTTCGTAGGCACTCCATGTAGTCTTGGATCTTGAAGCAGCCATTGTTTTCTCGTCGACGAAGGCCAATACTATACCATAGAGTGTCGAATTCTTTTGCTTTTACACAGTCATGAAGAAAATAGCGGCCGGTATCTTGAAATGCTGCCTTGAAAATCTCATCATCGTGATCAAACAACTCATGAGGTGAGTGCATTTTACCATTTCTGTCTGCCGCAAGGGTTAAGGATGACAGTTTATTGACGAGAGAGGAATCCTGCTTCGCCTTAGATACGATTCCGGTTAAAGTGCTGATGAATTGAGTATAGGCAGTCTCATTCATTGTCTGTAAAGTTGATGGGAAGTCCTTCGACTCAAACTTTTGAATCAAGCTTTCAGCAGTGACCGAAATAACCGACATCATTTCAAGACATTCTTCGGCTCTGGGATAGTCTATGGCCTCAAAATCGATAAAATTTGTAAGTTTCTTGTTCCAAGGTGCTAAAAGCTGAGGCTGCTTGGTATACTTTGCGGATGAGGCTGCGATGTACTTGTGCTCCGAGCTCGACGGCAAGTACGCAGGCCAGATTGGTAAGAGCTTCAAGTACTCAATGGTAGTCTTATGACCTGTTGTTACATGAGGTATGATGAGTTCTCGAAGTAGCTATATCTTCAATTAGCAAGGAAACTTTGGACACAAGTCTTGATTATTTAAATTTACCTTGATGAAATTTGATTTCTTGAGAGCTTGTCCAGTTACCAATTGAGCGAACAAACGCCCAATTGAGGTTTCATCTGGCGCCAATATATTTAAAGCATTTATGAATCTTCCTAAAGCTTTATGGTCGTCCAGGGACTTCTCGGCATAAGCAATTGATTTGGGCATAAGTTTTGGTCTGATCATATAGAGACCAGGAATACAACTACATAACTGCTCATGCTCCATCTTCGATATTTCAATGATAGTTGGCAAAGCTTCCAGTTCCGGCATGGTATAGTATCCCCAGACACCGTCGCACTTTGCTTTGAATAATGGCAGAGAACCAAATGTATTAGACTTTTGGGGCAATTCTTTCACGGCAGATGAGGAAAACTTATTCCAATAATCCCAGAAGAGTTCCAGCCAATCATCCGTCTTTTCATTTACAACCCTAGATCCTTGAGGTTTCATGGACAGAAGCTCCGGAACGTGGGAAGTTGTCAGGCCCATGACATTGAACTTCTTGCTTCTGACAATTTCGCCTATGCGGTCGTCAGGATCAATGTTTTCTGGAAATATTACAATGGTTTTGGCGAAGTTAAAAATTTCCAGTTCCAACTTCGTAACGGTGTAGTAATTTCGAGTATTCAGAGGCATGGGTGACAGATTCGGCGTTAATTGTCCTAGTGTTCCGTCCGCGAGAGGTAACAGTCTGCATCCGTCTAATTTTGCTAACTCCTCCGGAGAGACATCTCCTACTGGGATAAGCTCACGTAGGACATTGCCGATCAAATGGGAATCGCCAACCATCGCCTTTTGAAGACAGTCACCAGCCTCCTTGGACTTGAAGAGCTCACGTAAGCCAGAACGATCCATGGACTTAGCAACACCTATCGATTTGATACCGGTGAATATGTGAGCAGGAAAATTTGGTGATAGATTCGGCACCAGCTGTTCTAATACTGGAGCAATTTGCTTAGAAAATTGTGGCTGCAGGAGATCGAAAACCGTCTCAGACATATTCATGTTAGTTGCATTAGTGCCTGTATCACGTCGAGGAAACAGCCTTGCTGAACTGTGAGGAAGCTTCTCCCAGAAAGATTTACATAACAGTTCTAAGCGACTTCCGTTTACTGGATATCTTCTCGGCCAAAACTGAAACACATCCGAGCCAATCTTCTGGGCCAAACCTTCCAGAAACTTGAAGTAAGCGTATGCCAATTTCTCTTCCAATAACCACGAGTTCCATTTTGATCCCTCGGCCTCAGATGATTCGCCTCCAGCAATGAGTGCATTCCTATCTCCGGAGAGAGAAAATGTAGCGTGTATGTGCACTGGCAAATTCGATGCTTCAGGTAGAGGGAGAGTGCTAAACAACTTTGGCGTTGGTAGATCCGAAGTTTTTGTGACCCGTTGATTTTCTGATTGTACCAATGCTGCGATGCCGTACTCTACATTCTTTCTAAGTCTGGATTGGTATTCACCGCTAGGTGTCTCCTCAATCATTGAATAGATCCACCACTTATCTTCAGTCGCGGTAACGTCCGGGCCAAGCATCTGCTTTGCATAACAAAGTGTGTAGTCAGATACGGATTTTCTTCTCTTCATCTTCACCGACCAGAATAGTTCCTTCGCCTTGGGTCCCTTGAAACTAACCACCCGAACTCCTTTCAAAAAAACCAGGGAAATTCGAGCTTCTTGAAAATATTTATTCAAGAGCAATCGGACAGAATCTACGGATGGGGGCTCTTGCTTTGCCCTTAGAGGTGAAACATGTTTTCTCAAAGGGAAACGAAAAATTGTGCCATCATAATGATCAGAATCACTATCGTAGCCCCATAAGTCTTGGAACGGAGCCAGTTGATTTGGGTGAACTTGCTTGAGCTTAGATAGCAAAATCTTCACTCCTGGCTTTCGTGCCTGCCAATTTCTGTTTAAAGGGAGGCATGCCTGCAATGGATCTAGTATCAACAAGTAATCTCCAGAAAGTAAGACTGGATTGTCTGTAAAATGGTACATGGTCTGGCTGCCTCGACCAAACATACCGATGGTTGATCTATCTTCTCGTTTGCTGCCAACACCAACGTTCTTGAAACCTTTGAAGTCGCTATCCTGAAATACTGCATCATTATGAACCAGTAGAGCTGGCCCTTGAAGATCTTTCATCTCTGGAGTAAGAAGATTTTCAGTTGGATGATGCCTAGGATCTAACATCCAGTGGACTGCTGATGCTTTGGAATCATCCGCGTTTGCTAGGTACTCTTTGAAAGTACTTTCGATAGGGTAGCGGTCAAGAGTAGTGGATATGCTGGTCGTTATAGCCTCGCACTGTTGAAAGTCCTCGTCATCATCATCATCGTCAGCGAGTTGCAGTTCTCCTTTCCTCAATCGCTCGCTCAGTTTCTCTATAAACAAGCTATTTACTGTCTGTTCAGAGATTCTCGAATTGGTAAATCTGACTTTATCGACAATCCTGTCAGACTGCAGTGGCATATCATTGTAAACTATATCCTCAACCGGGCACAGAATACTATCTTGATCCAATATTTTCAAGCCCCCCAGAGATTTTCTAGAATATTTGCTGGCCATTTTGATCGTTTCTAAGAGAATTTCGGTGTCGGATTCTTTATAAGGATGACCAGATCGCTCAATCTGAGCTTGAACATCGAGAATATCTTTAACTCCTGGCCTCAATCTGACATTCATAGCTTTCAGGATATCTTCGTGCATTTTTGCGAATCCAATATCGACATTTCCCAGGAAAGGACTGAGCAAAGTGCAACCAGAAAAGAATGCCTTGGAAGCAGTGACGAATACACGGTTGTCTGTGAGAATGCATCGACGAAGTTTCAATGATTCCGAAACTATATCAGTTCGGAAATTATCTCTCAAATAAGTAAGGACGGCATTGACAACAGGCCCTTCATCTTTGATGACACCTTGATCAAGCTGGGCAAGTAAGATATCGACAGGTAAGATTTTGTTCCATCCAAGGAACTCGGCCCAACGGTAAGATACAGTGAAAGAAAAGATAGGCAGCCTATATCCTGCACGCAAACGATCCTGAACACCGCGGCATTCGCTCGGGCTTACCATTTCAATACTTCCATCGGGTAAAGTAGCTGGTAGCCACTTGCGTTTCAGGAATTGCTTGTATTTTGTCGCCGTTGCTTCTGACGGAGACCAGGAGCAAGAAGTCTTCAACAAGTTTTCAGCACGACTGTAGACTTCTTCTTTAGGAAGGGAACTGTTCAAAAATTTGCCGACTCGGTCATAGACAAACAACTCGTCAACTTTAGCCCTCAACCCAAATTTCTTGAAAATTGAACCATATCGCGCAAATTGGTCATCGGTAGGTAACACTTCCTCGTCACTAAAGAACACGCTCTTCAGCCAGCTATTCTCAGGATCGATTAGAACAGCAGCGGTAGCGAACTTGCCGGTTATATTCCCACCAATAGACTGAGTTGGTACTATCGGTAAGCTAAACATAGCTACTTGTGCTTGTGGGGACAAGTCGTAGTAGAATTTAAGCATCAGTTCTGCGGTTTGCGCCTTGGATGATGGTAACCAAGTGCACTTTTGAAGTCCCTTCCAAGCTGGAATAATATGATCTTGCAGTGCTTCGATCTTCGATTTACACACAGCGAGTTTCTGATAACGAAGGATTTTTTGAATGGCAATGGTCTGCGCATCTATAAATTGGTAGTCCTTGAATATAGGAAGGGGAATTATTCCATCAATGACCCCAATTGCAGACTTGAAGGTCTCAATACGCACCCATGGATACCTTTAAATAGTGTTAGTTACTTTCGAGCTCTGGGAGCAAGGATTACATACCGACGATCACCATCATTCCCGCTTGTCAATTCTCGAAAAATTGGGAGTTTCTTCAAGTTTGCTGGATGATAATTTATGTATTCAGGATCAAGCTGTCGTCCAACAGCTTCTGCGATATATTCAATGATGATGAATTTATCTTCTTCGGATGCTTCTTCAACTGCAAGATGGGACCGAGCGAGCCATTGCAATAAGAAATGAAATTCCTCACCGTTGCGAACTTGCAGGGTTTCTCCTGCCTTAGCAGTTTTCAATTTTGCTAAAAGACCTCTGTCTAAGCCCGTGCTACCTGAGAGGATCACCGGCGCGCTTTGAGCTCTATTATCTTCCCCAAGCTTTTGGATAGTATCGCCGAGCGATCCAGGCGGTGGTATGATGGCCCAGCAATTGCGAGGCTTGACTTTCCTATATTTGCCATTCGTAAGAGGAAGTAGCCAGAGACTAGCAGTACCCTCATTCAGGATATCTGAACTTCTATGTATCCAAGTCCAAGACTTAGTGACAAAGGATATTTGATCAGGATCCAAAGCAGCCATGTCGGCATTAACGTCAAGCTTATCGAAAAAGTATGCCATGGCGTACTCCCTGAGATCGTTTGCAGAACGGTGGCGGATGTGAGGGTGGAACTTTGAGGCTCTTAGACGATCTTGTAAAGTGTTCAAGCTTGTCTGAGAAAATTGCTTTAGGTCCAAATTATGCTTGGGGTCGCGTTGGAATAACTCGGCTTCAAAACCATCGCGATGTACAAAAGCAAGATGATCATCGATTGAACGGCATGAGCCATCTTCGAATGGAAACAATGCTAAGCCTTTTTCATGGTCTGATGAGCCCAGAGTAGGGAGAATGTATTCCAGGATCTGTTGTCTTGTTGCTTGTGGCCAGGAAACGACCAAGTCATTCTTGCCGCGCAGATAATTGCACAGAGTCTGAGGTCCAAGTCTAAGATCCAAGAAGAGTTTCTTGGCTTCCTCTCTCAGTTTATCTGGGATATAAACAACTGGAATCTGCGCGTCTGCCAATGTCGACTTTAGTGATTCCGACTCTTTTCCTGTCGCCAAAAGTCCAGCGTCGGCACTGATGTAACCATTCACAGTATACCAAACAGGCAGGGATTGATCTTTAATCAACGTAAGCACTTGAGCGAGCACATCCTTAGACAAATTGTCAGGATCCTCGGATTTATGAGGCCAATACTTGAACGATAGATCAGGTGGAAAAGATAAAGCAAGGTGGCTAAGCAGCTTAGTCCAAGCATGTGGAATTGAGCTATTGAATAGGTATTGATTCCATTGTGCCGGTAACTGATCCTGCGAGCTATGATCCTGAGATTTATACAATCGGGCTCGATCTGGCGAGATGCTGAACAAGCCATGAATAAGAGCCGGCTGATTGATGGGTATATGTAATGGCATCACCAAGAATAAAGATCCGCGTATAGCGGTATTATTTTCAACCTGCAGACTTGTCAGTAATGCTGAGTGTAATACTTTGGTGATGGTGACTAAACTGTTACTTTTCAGGAGGCTTAACTTACGTGCAAGGGAACGGCCACTGCAACCCAGGGCAAGGATTTCTGGGCTATGCTCCATTTACGGATCTCTTCTGTCATCGAGTTTCCTTGTATACTGTGGTGGATTATGAAGCGCATTTTGGTTGTTTCGTTCTGGTTCTGGTACCTCAATTCCATTTCAAAAGTACAATCGAAGTCTTGAGACGGATTCTTCAGCAAGCTGACGATTGCGTCGTTGACTCTAGTCTTGTTTCTACGCAATGAATTATTAATAGAGGGACACGTGAAATATAGAAAAGACTTACAACTGAACAGCTTTCTTGTTCATCACCTCGATCTCGATGAGACCAGTAATATTCGAAATCACGCAGATTTTAACAACATGTTTCATGAACAACAAACCTTCTTTTCCAAAGTCTTCAGTAAACTTCTCCAGTACATGAGCCATCTCTTGAGCCGTGATCTTGCGATCAGAGATCCCACTTTTTTTTGCTTGTTCAACTGTGCGTAGAGGAAGTCGAATGATGGTGCCAGGAAAAGGTTGTTTCACATCCTTCATAAGTGATTGATAAACAGTCATGTGGGCTTTCAAACTAGGGGTTTCAGAGTATTCTACGAAGTTATAGCCGTTCCCGCCGCTCGACCAAGAATTATGAGGGTCCAGGATTTGGACGCGATGACCTGATACGATAGACGGAGAATCCGTCCAGTTATAAACCTGCTTGCTGTCAGTTGACAGAAATCATAGATTCGGCGTCATACATACAGAATTGAAACCTCGACCAAACTTTCCTGTAGTCGAACCGTCCTCCATCTTGAGCGAATTTCCCACCTGTGACAAGCTTTGAAAATGCTCTTTCTTGAACTTGGCATTATTGTAAGCTAATAGAGCTGGCCCTTGGTATTGAGCGAGCTTAGGTGGCAGGTTGTCCGTCCCATAGCTATTCTCATCGAGAAAGAATTTCTGCAAGTTGGGTTAAAAGGGAACAATATAGAAGTAGTTGAATGAGAAAAGTAAATTTACATACGACTTCCGATGCCTGGGCATCATCAGCATTTTGTAAGAGCTCTCTGAGAACAGAACCTCCAGCGGGGTAATCACGACAGATGTTCTTCAATGCATTTAATATGGTTTGGACCTGCGGGAGATCGAATTCTGCAGGAATATCCATCCTGACGTTGTTGAGATATGAAGGTTATTCGATTCTCATGGAAGATTGCTCGTTGATAAGAGGTAAGAAAGAGCAATTGCAGATAGCAAAATGGAAGTGGTTGAGTAAGGTTGTGGTTCGTTATTGAAAAAAAGTAAGAAGGTGGACTTGCCGTGATAGATCTGCCCGCGGAAAGCGAACGAAACAAAAGTGAACGGTGAATAATGAATTAACAGCGTGGGAGAAAGACGTCTTGGACGGAATGAAGTCATAAAGTTCACAAAGTGATAGATAAGTGAAATGCAATCTGAAATGTTTATTTATTCAGAGAAAGAGGACCAGTAAGTTTTGTAGAATTCATGCCAACAAACGCGACTCCAAAGTATGGCGATTCCTCGTTTGATGCAAGGCGAGGCTGAGATAGAATTTGCCTCGACAAACAATTGGTCGTTTTGGATCCTGCAAGGTTCCCAATCTGTAAGCTCCCGATTGTCGACAAGGTCCTTCTATTGGATACTTCTATAGACATGGATATGTAGGGGCTCGCATTATCTTGAAGGAAAGCATTAAATAACATCCATTGATGCATTCTTGACCACTTGATACGACCAGACTATAAATTCTTCAAACACGAGTGCACTCGCATTGACTACTCCGGTCATCAAGAGAATATATTATAAAATTATTCATTCAGAACGAATGAATGCTTTTTGATAATGCCAAATTTTGAGAATGAAAAATCACAAACCTGACATTCGAATGACTCGGGGAGTCTGATACAGAGAAAACTTTAGTTTTTGATGCTTTCTCTACTCTGCAATCTAGAGGAGCTTCTCATTCCTGCTTCCGTAGTCTAGGAGGCACATCGAATGGACATGATTTACATGATTACTGTGTATCATTCCACTTGACGGAGCCAAAAGCGAGCAAAGCTTTACTTATACTCGAGCCACAGGTCAGTCATCCACCTCCCAGGTATCGTTCCACATCGTCATTCCTATAAAACATTTCCCTCAACTTCTCCCCTTTTCTCCTATCCTTTTCGTGCAATTTCCTAACCTTTCCAGCATCAAGCTTCTGTGGCTTCTCTTTCTTCCTTATCTCCCCCTTCTTTGGCATCACTACACCAATACCCAATTTATCATCTTTTGGTTTGGTTTTGATTGGGAACTGGATACCTTGGCCAGATGCACCAAGTCCAAGGCGAGAATCAGGATCCCAGCCATACGATGAGAGATATGTAAGGCCTTTTCTATTTCGATCGACATGTGAAGGGGGATGTGAATGGTTCAGACATACTTGATGTGCTAAAGAAGCTTCATGAGGTCGCGATTTGGTAGAAGATGTGGTATTTGACGGGCCAGATGAACCAGCCTCATCCTTGTTGATAATCGACTCCAGATCTGTAGATAGAGGTAGCTTACAGACTTCACATACTTCCGAATTCCTTAGAGATATAGTGCTCTCCCTTGAAGTGCTCTCAAGTATCGAGGAGTCTTGAGGAAGAACCAGTTTGAGATATGAATCGCTGATACTCTTTGCAGAGCTTGTAGATGGCGTAGGCTGTATTGTGGATGACGAAGTTGATTGAACGAACTTGACGCGTTTCCTCTTGATACCAGCTCCGAAAGCTCTCTGATCTTGCAATGGAATTTCGTAAGTATCTTCGTCCGACATACTGTCCATCCTAGAATAGCAGATTTATCTTGTATTAGTAGTAGCAAAAGTTCATGTTATGGCACAGTGGTGATGTTTTGGAAACTTCAAACGTAGGGCTGATTGGCCGTAACGACGCTAACATAGCTTACGCCACAAGCGCCACAAAGCTTCGTCAGCCCCAATCTGAACAAATATGGAATTTTGTCAGTGTCTCCTTACCAATTCATTCATTCATTTATTCACCCTTTCATACTTCACTTGTACAATTTTTTCCTCTTTTGTTCGGTTTTATCTTACATGATCATAATGCTATATTGAGAAACTTACAATAGCCTCACCAATAGCTTAAATCCTATCCACAGTTATGCCTGTCGATTTCGTTGCAAATGTAATATGGGGGAAGGTTACCTGGCTCCCTAGTCTTTGGACTATGGCCAAGGTAGTACCAGCTGTCCTTGTCATTGTTCTGGTGAAGCTATTCTCTGCGGGAGTGAAGAACTCTTCGGAGAGGAAGATGCATGGGAAAGTGGTTCTGGTAACAGGAGGGACGTCTGGGATAGGAGCTGCAGCAGTTCTGGATCTAGCATCACGAGGAGCGCAGATAGTTCTTCTCACACGTCAATCTCCAACAGATATGTTCCTTGTCGACTACATCGAGGACTTGCGGGAAAGATCCGGAAACGAATTAATTTACGCCGAACAAGTCGACCTGTCATCATTGTACAGCGTTCGAAAGTTTGCTACGAAATGGATTAACAACGCACCGCCTCGGCGACTGGATATGATTTTACTGTGTGCTGCGACACTCACACCTCCTGGCAGACCTCGCGTTACAACAGCAGAGGGTATTGAAGAAACCTGGATGGTAAATTACTTGGCAAATTTTCACCTCTTGAGTATTCTCAGTCCTGCGATTCGCGCTCAACCACCGGATCGAGATGTGCGAATTATATTTACAACTTGTTCCTCTTATAACAAGAGTCCCACTGTTGGAGATGGTAGTGATGCGATGAAGAAGAAGGATTGGAGTCCTTCTGCGGCATATGCCAGAAGTAAGATGGCATTGATGATATTTGGACAAGCTTTTCAGAAGCACCTCGAGTCATACAAACGACCTGATGAAGCGATCATGAACGCGCGAGTGATATTTGTGGATCCGGGATATTGTCGTACACCAGGATTCAGAAGATGGTTCTCGCGGGGTACATTGTGGGGACTGGCATTATATGTCATGTTATGGCAGAATGTTTGGCTTCTACTGAAGAGCTCTCAAGGGGGTGCACAGAGTATCGCGTATGCCGCTATGGAAGCAGCATTAGGAAGAGGGCCTGGTGGAAAGCTCATTAAAGAGTGCAGTGAAATAGATTTCACTACATCTGATGTTAAGGACGAGAAGATTGCAAAGAAGTTGTGGGAGGGAAGTGAGAAGTTGATCGAAAGAGTCGAGAGAGAGGAAGCTGTCAAAAGAGCTTTGGAGAAGAAGGAAAAGGAGGCGGCGGAAAAGGCGAATGGATCAAGTGAGAAGCCATCTGACAGCCCCGAAACTACAGAAAAAGCGATGGAGAACTCCAAAGGAAAATCCCGAAGGCAACGTAAGGCGAAGTGAGACGATGGAGAATTGGGTGACATATAGCATTGCGACGGATTCTTCAATATAGTACTTTCGGATACCAGGCCCAATACAGCATTTTTGTGTGAAGCTCAACAACTTTGGTTTCATCTAGTTTTTATATCCAGGCACATCTGGTTGATATAGTGGTACTCTTATTTGAAACCCAATTTTCCTACGACTAATTATGTTGCTTAGGTATGATCTATAGGATGAGGGCTATCGATTGTGCCAGTCTAATTCTTGTAGTGAATACCGTCGTTTTCTCCAAGAAGGACGATGTGTATACAGAATTTCCTAGGTGCGTGATTCAATAATGTGTTGGATGATTACCTGGTTTTGCAGCCAGATCTACCAACCGAGTCGTGAATCGTGATGCATCCGTAGCTTATATACTGTGAGTTGGCCCATTTTCATTCTCATCGTCGCATATACGAAACAGTTTGGTTGCAGCAGGAAAAAATGGAGAACTTCCATCCTTATATGGAGAAAATGATGTCGAATGGGTCCTCTACGACATATCCACCGATTCATGAAAAAGGCCGTGTCACTATCGTTCACAAGCTCACAGCGGTAGTGGTAACGCGGCTGTCGTTATTCGCTTCACAATGCCCTGGAATTATGCAGGCAATAAAAGCAGATGATATAGCAGATTCTCGATTTAAGTATCTGTTCTGCGAAAACCAGATTGGTCATTTTTGTGGCTCTCACGAATCAAAGGACTCTCATTCCTTGAGCAACGTTCGCTAGCATCACATCTTTACTTCGGCCGTGTGGATCTTGCTTGGCAATGTTGCTTGATCCGGGAACATCTGCAAGATGATATCAGAATCTTTTAATGAACGAAATTCTTGATAAATTGTTGTGGGCCTTCGATAAGCTTAATTGTCTTGGACGGTCTCTTGCCGAAAATTCGAGTCAGGGGTGGATCTAAGGCTTCAATACTCATGTACTGTGCACAAGGCTCGCAAGGTTCGCGAAGAGAAATTCAGAGGCCAAGCACCAACATTTGATGACTTTTAGAAATTTACAGTGTTATTTGTCCCTCGACAGAAAATGCTTATTGGTCTCGAATTTTCAATTGGCCACTGACATGACTCTTGATCTGGTTATATGATCACATGATCATGGTAGATCAGATACTTATGCGGATCGGCATTCTGACCTTCTAGAGGGGAAGGGACCGCGATGCCGCCGAAACTACCTGGGGACGATACGTACGCCATCCTCCACCAGGTATCAAAATGGAGTTCAAAAAATGCGGCACCTCCACAGCTTACAATTTTTCGAGGTCTGATATCATACTTCCAGTTTTGATAGCCACTTCCATTTGTGCATGTTTGGATCTACCCATATTACTTGAACATAGGGTCCACCTAGGAGAAATTTCATCATGACTATCAATGTTTTTTCTATCTTTTGTGGACCTCTCCATACCGACTCGAGGAGGAAAAAATGCTCCCCAGACCCCATATAGTCCCCCATCTCCCACCTCGTATGATTCTTTTCAATCCAGAACAACTTGAAAGCCCCCTCCAGAAAGCGCATTTACAATTATGGGTTTACTAAGTCATACGGGTTTCCTTGGGAAGACGGTGCAAGGGAAGGCTCTTGAGAGTCTTGTCTGCGCAACTGCTGCAAGTGGTTTCTTACTTTTCGGATATGATCGTAAGTAATGTCCCAACTCGGACCAAAAAGCCAAACTAACCAGTGTATTCAGAGGGTATCATGTCCGGAATCATTACGGAGGAAAACTTCCTTGCATACTTCCCTCAGATGGAACCGCACAACAAATCTGGAGCAATTCAAGCCTTGGTCGTTGCAATTTACGAAATTGGTTGTTTACTCGGGTCATTCTTTATCATCGGCTTTGGCGACAAACTCGGAAGAAGGAGAGCTGTGTTATTGGGAACTGTTATCATGTTGATTGGTACTGCGATTCAAGCTTCAAGTTTTGGGATGGCTCAATTGATTGTGGGAAGAATCGTTACTGGTGTTGGAAACGGAATGAACACTTCATCCATTCCAGTTTGGCAAAGTGAAATGGCACCACCTAAGATTCGAGGATTCTTGGTCTTGTTCGAGGGTGCTCTGATTGCTGGAGGCAGTAAGTGGTATTTGTCCCCTTTTTCTATTAACTTCAGCTGATCAAACATAGTTATGCTATCGTATTGGCTGAATTATGGATTCTTTTTCGTCACCCAGTATGGTTCATTCCAATGGCGCTTTCCAATTGCTTTCCAAGCATTTTTTGGAGTCATTCTCCTCATTGGTATCCTCGCATTGCCAGAATCGCCTAAATGGCTACTCAAGAAAGACAAGGACGAGCACGCAATCGAGATTCTCTGCCGCCTACAGAGATGCGAGAAAGATGATCCACGAATTATCGAAGAGGTTAGGGAACTCAAGAGAGTTACTGCTATCACAAAAGGACAAAAGCTCACACTTAAGGAATTTTATGGAAGTGGTCCTGAGATGAACAGATGGAGAGTTACCATTGCATATACTTCGCAACTTTTCCAACAAATTGGAGGCACTAATCTTGTTACGTATTACGCAACGTAAGTTTTTGTATTCATATTCATTCTTGTGTACATGTGCTAATGATGTACCACAGAACTGTCTTTGAGGACTCTCTGGGCTTCTCTCCGGCTCTTGCCCGTCTCCTAACCGCCTGCTATGGAACTCTCTATCTTGCCGCCGCCATTTTCGCTTTGTTCATTGTCGACCATTTTGGCCGCCGCAAAATGATGATCACGGGTGCTCTAGGAATGGGACTTTCATCTATGGTCATCGGTGTCTGTCTTTCACAAACAACAGAAGACTATAAGGCTCCCGGTTATGTTGCTACTGCCTTTATCTTCATTTTCATTGCCTTTTTCGCAGTGGGATGGTTAGGCATTACTTGGCTCTATCCAGCCGAGGTGACGCCGCTTCGAATCAGAGCAGAAGCTAACGGTCTTTCAACATCTTTCAACTGGATTGGCAATTACATCGTTGTTCAGTTGGCTCCAATTATGATTTACAGCATTAGCTGGAAAACATATTTCGTATTTATGTGTGTCAACCTTGCTTTCGTACCAGTTATCTGGTATACCTTTGTGGAGACCAAAGGATACCCACTCGAAAAGCTCGATGAGATTTTCGAAGAAGCATATGAGAAGGGAGAGAATCCTGTTTGGACAGAAAGAAGGATTAGAAAGAATGCAAAGGAGTCACGAAACGGCGGAAAGCACGCAGAAGAAGGTGTTGCTACCGGCGCCCACATTGGAGATGAGGAAAAGATCAGAAGAGAAAGTAGAAACGAAAACACGGTTGCGGATGCTGGACGTCTGCATAATCATGTCCATGGTGGAGAGAGTGGAAGGACGAGTGGCGAAGATACGGTAATTGAGCAAAGAGAGAAGCTAGAGGAGGAGGTTGATAGAACGGATAGATACCCTTTTGCTAGGAACTGAGTGTTTTTCTTCGGATTTGTGGCTGTCAATCGCAGTTCATAAGAGTTGGGAAATGTCGGGCGCTTGGCGCTCATCTGTTTGTACGATATTGGGTGGATGAAGGGATAGCGTGTGCTTGTTTGATTTTTGTTATGATATCCACGATATGATGCGATGAGATTACATGTTAGATGGTAAATAATAGACTAGATGTGATAAATCGGAATACAAGAAAGTAGAAAAAATACCCTGGTCGAGTAGTTGCCGTATGCAAAGGTGGTGACCATTGAACTAAGGAGAGTAGTGTTCTACAAGCCTTAGCATTATTAAAACAGCCACTACTCCTGGGCGCTGCCATAAATATCTCAACTTCAATTGATTATGCTGAAGCCGTTAAAGAACTATGGACTTCTACTTCGATATTCAAGGGTATTTGGTACCACTAAATATATATCATCTCAAAAAAAAAAAAAAGAATAACATCTCCCTCAAGGGATTAATTTTTATCGTGCACTAGCTCTTGCCATCTATACTATCTACGAGTTCATCAAGCAGATTCCAGCGATTTTGCTGAATACCATCTTACCAGATGGAATATAGATGACGACTCATTATCTTATATTGATAATGATTATTGGGCAGAATTAATAAATCAAGTAGTCGAATCACGATGGGGTAGGAAAGCATCGGCTCTGAACCGAGACAGAATTTTTCACATGGCTTTTGACCGCGTCAACAAGCGACCGCATGATGGTGGTTCAAAGTCAAAAAATTACAGCAGTTTCTCAGAGGCTCGAAGGTTCAAATTGATGATAGAAAATATATGGAATGCTTCTGGTATGCCACAATCATTCTTTAATAGGTGTTTAGAAGGCTGATACATACAGCTGGTAAGGATCGTGGTTGTAGATTATCCCGTGGAGGCGAGAGACTAATGGCTCACGATTCAGCAGATGAAAGACCCCGTGGAAAGGATTTTGGCAACACCGTATGCTCTGTGCCGGATCGTACTAGAGGTTTCTTTTCCTTTGTCATGGAAACATCAAACGCTGGCAAAGAATACGCGTCAAATCGCAGTCAAATTCTAGCTCTTCGTCAGTCACTTGTAATGAATTCTAAAGAAAGACAATCAGAAGAGACTTCTTCATTTACGCCCCAAAGAAAGCCCAAGCAACCAGAAAGAGCTGGGCCTTGATCATGCGGTACCCAATCTCATCAAACAGAGCAGGATACTCGAGGAAAAAATCCTCATTTGAAGCCAACAACTCACCAAGCAGACAAGAAAAACTAGTCATTGGCGATGCAACGTCGTTTTAGTCGAATATTGCAGGCCACTCAATCAAAGCAGAACCAGATATGGGTCAGCTAATGTTCCATTCATTAAATTGATTGGAATACCTGGCTGTAGAATAACCAAACGTCGATTGTTCAGCATCAATGTCAATTGTACCAAACTCGTCGAAACGATCAGACCCATTGAGACATTCAATTCAATCGGAGGAAGTTACTGAACCGATAGCACTTGTACCAAACAGATTGGGATATTCAATTGGACCTTATCATCCACGACTAGTTGGCATTGATATTACAGGCCATGCCAGTCTCATTATCAAGAAAGCCTTCTTGCACAATAGGAAAGGATCACTCAGTGCGCTTGGAGTTCCTTTGGACGTTCTTTGTACACAATCCAAGGACTACATTGTATGTTGACTGGAAGGTTGGAGCAAAGGAGGACAGGTAGAGCGACGACTGGCTCTTGATATTGCCGGTGTGTGGTTTGAAAAATCAATGCGCCAATATTCTTGTCAAAACTTGATATATTTCATACGCGAACTCGGTGCAGGACAACAGTTGAATTTCAGGCAACTTTATAGCGCCGCTGGTAGATTTTCGCTTGTGACTAGCCGAAGTAAATTTGATTGAGTTCCAGGAGATGCAGTAGTTGCAACCCGGTCTCAGAACGTTTCGTAGAATCTTTCTCGTCGGCACCTATTTCAAATCACGAACCAGAATGTTGCTGGTAAGTTTATCGGTCGTGACGGAGCCAGCGCAAGAGAGGCCGAGAAAATTCCGAGACTATCCATGTCTTTCAAGCATTTTAATGGAAAAGAGTACTTTGTGTGTAAGCCATGCGCACATCAAAAATCTTGATCGACAGGAAAAGGTCAATCGCGAAAGATGCCGGATTGGTTTAGAAATTATCAGTGTATGGCTCTGGGAACATTGGAACGCACAAAACGACTACATAAATTTGCCGGAGTTCCTTGTATTTCTGAAAGCATCAGACGATAAAATGACGTTGGAGGAAGCCTATGAAGCCGCAATACATTCCATGAGACAAAAAAGGCTGCCATATTCGCACAAAGCTTTCTTCGAATCAAATTATACCATAGAAGCAGAACCAGGAGATTAGAAAGATGGATATTTGAACCTGTTTGAGACAGGGGGAGCAAGCAACTCATTAGTGATATATTTTAGGGTTATGCGCAATGTGGGCAAGGCATAACAGCTGTCACTAGAACCAAAATTGATAGCTGAATAAACTTCGAACTATGACACTGGAGAGTTCATTGGACCAGAATAAGCCGTAAGTACTTTGTCTTCTCCTGTTAACCATGACTTCACATCTTATAATATACCAAAGAGAACAACCTGATAACAAGTAAGAGTTGTGAAGGATAATGAGTTTATTAATTCGCCAATGAGAACATCCCACGAGAATTCGTGAAATGTTACCAAGTGAAAACAATGCTCTCCCAACACCACGCTAAAAAGCTTCAAGAATTCTCCAGACGAGAACGGATATCAGATGAAGCAAAATGGAGATGAAACCCAAGATTAGATGTGTCAAAAGCCAAGGAAAGTAACACGAGGAGCATCTCCTTCCTTAGAGCACATCTCGCGAACTAAAGACATATGAACCCTTGTTCCACTAAGATGCTGAATCTTCAATACCTTCTCCAGAACAGTCTTGAACTTTCCAGATGAGAATTTTTCCAAGATCCATTCCCGATGTATAGCATCCGTGGTTTCGATCCCTGCCATGAATAAGGGCCAATGAAGTCTCTCATAATGTTCTTCGTCGCCTTTCGCAAAGATTCTTTGAGCAATGTCCAAGAGTGACTTGAGAGCTCGTTTGACTATTTTCGGTCTTGCGTTGCGATCTTCATTCTTGGTAGTATATCGAAAGTGGTAGATACGTATCGCGTAGAAGTAGCTGAGTATCCAATCGGCGTTGACCAGAAACCTTGGACGAGTTTCCAGATCCATTGCAGCGAGTTCAAATATAGAGCTGTAAGTTTGCTCGAGTTCACAAAATTGTTGTTCTATCTCATCTGAAGGGATGTTTTGGTCAAGGTCATTCACTAACTGACACATTATTGCCGATTTCCATAAAAGATCTAGCACTTCAAGATTCTGCGTATCATCAGCTGCTTGATCTGGTGGATAGTCTTGGTCAAAGTTCAGAGCAAGAACAGCACGGCCCATGTCGACGATCTTAGATATATTCTTTGTGTCGGTGCAAAGATATCTTGCAAGATCCCCACCACGGTAGCAAAAGCAAAATCCAACATCGGCGTAAAACATCCAAACTGTAACTCGAGCTAGTAACGATTGATCACGAAGGTGGAAAGGTAATGGAGGATTTGCGTGTCGCTTATTGAGTGGATCTAGATCTAGAAGACCCGCTACGTGCTTTTGCACATAATCGCATACAACCCTGCTCAAGAGCATCATTGTACCGATACCCGCATGAATTTGACTTGATCCAAGCATATATAGAAACCAGAAAGCTGCCATGATACTCAAGTGATGTGGTGTTTCCTCCTCGGAGATGGCTGTCAGTAAACGACCAATTCCAGCTCGAAAGTGCTTTTGGGCAAGGTCGTGAAGTTCATTATCCTTATCTTTGAAAAACAAATCACGAAATGATATCGCAAGCAGCAAGTGCATAATTAGAGGATCTTGCGCGCCGAGACAAATATATATTTGCTGGGTTGACCAAGTTGGGTTTTTGGTGGTAAACTTCAATGATAACGTCTTCTCGTAGTGTTCAACGGCCCGTTTCTCTGATGGTGAGAGTTTTAATGGACTTGAATGGCGCAAATTTGGGAAATGAAGTGTGACGCATCCTTGAGCATAATATTCATCCTGGAACACAACATTATCTCGGCCCACAAGGTCAAGAGCTCTTAAAGGTTGAAACGGCGATGGGGGGCTATTAGTGTAAGTGTCCTTGTTTCCTGGCGCGAGTCCGTCAAATGTCTCGAGATTGAAGGAACCTTCGGGTAAGATAAATCCATGTCCCGTATTGGTCGTCCATTCATGCATGCTCCACATGTCAGGAGATACTTCGTGTTCCACAGCATGGAGAAATTCGTTGACGTCTGCTGGGGTTGGATGTGGTAACAATCCAACGATATTTGGGATGATCTGAACTGGAATTGACCTTTCTCTCGCTTCTCGATGCCCTCGTTCCTTTTCCCTTCGGGAAACAAATGGCTGGTATGAACAATCTAACTCTAGACGATTACACCTTTCACATATCGGATGGTTTTCGTCACATCTCACTCTAGCACGTCTACAAGTCATACATCCTATACTCAATTAGATTGAAGCTTTCGACTATCAAGGACACCTACCTGATCTAGACCTGAGGCCTCTTCTGGGTTGTGACATGGTAGAGTATGCGATCCAAGCTGGCTCAAAGTTCGAGGTGGGGTCCAAGCCTAATCCAAGTGCTCAAACAATTGTTGGAAGTTTCTTTCCAACATTGCCCCATCGGTGTGAACATTTATGCGCAGATCTAGGACCTTTACGAGACAAAATCAAGGCCATGATGACTGGAGGCTGAGTTGAGCTGATGAAGTGAAGTTGAGGAAAAGGCTGAAATGATTGGCTGTTATCAAATCAGACCTGTCAAGTGGGTCAAATGCGGCTGGTCGTCTCGACTAACCAATTAGAATTGGAGCTCGCCAATTTTGATTTTACCCCGCGATACTGATGTCTGTGAATAGAAGCATGATATTGAACGAACCGTGGCACTCATTTCGATTGGTTACGCCTGTCAATACTGAAATCATTGCATTTTCCAAAAGTGGTGTGCTTTTTATAGATACCCCTTCGTTCCTCTTGAGTTTATTGCCAATTGACTTTGCATTGGTTTATTAGTAAGCTAGCATTTGCTCCTCCCTTGTTTCCCATCCGCACATTTGTTCAGCAATTAAGCAGTCCACCAAGAATCAAAAGAAAATCACTATCAGAAATGGATGACGCAAATTTTTTCGATCAAGCCATCAGTCAGTACGATGACAAGTTGAAAGCGATCAATCAAAAGGTAGCAGTCTTCTTTTCCACATACAACTACACCGTATCTCACAAATTTAGATCCACGAAAATCCAGAGCTTGGATACAATGAAGTAAAGGCACACGACAATATTACGTCTATGTTGAAAGAGTTAGGTTACTCTGTCACGACTGGAGCGTATGGTGTACCAACAGCTTTCTCGGCTGAGTATGGTAGTGGGGGTCGTCTGGTAGTATACAACGCGGAATATGATGCTTTACCCGATATCGGACACGCGTGTGGCCACAATCTCATTGCTACTGCTTCAATTGCATCATTTCTTGGTCTTGCGGCAGCAATCAAAGAGAAAAATGTTCCTGGCCGAGTCAGGCTTTTGGGAACACCAGCCGAGGAAGGAGGTGGAGGAAAATTGAAGCTCATCGACGCTGGAGCGTACAAAGATGTTGATGCTTGTATGATGGTCCATCCATCTATCAGGGACCAGAGTCATGGCCTTGTCGGTTCTGCCTATAGCACCACGTTGGCAAACCACAAGTTCAAGATTCATTACACGGGCAAGCCTTCTCATGCGGCTATGGCACCTTGGGAGGGTATCAATGCGCTTGATGCTGTTGTTCTTGCTTACAATGCTATAAGTGCACTGAGACAACAGATCAAACCATATGAAAGGATCAATGTAAGTACAATAAATATTTCTTGAGACACATATGTTCTAACCTACACCAGGGTGTGATTGAATCTGGTGGTACAAGACCAAATATCATCACGGCTAGTGCAGGATTAGTTTATTACATCAGAAGCGCTACACTCAAAGAGGCTGATGAGCTCAAAGCCCGAGCAATTAAATGTTTTGAGGGAGCTGCTATAGCAACAGGCTGTACCGTTGAGTTTGAAGAGTACGTTTTATCTTTCTCTCCGATTTAGAAAGAAATGTATTGACCCTACCCAGAATCAATACATACGCGGATACACGACCCAACAAGCCAATCTGCTACCAGTACGCCCAAGCGATGGAAAGTCTCAAATACCCCGTTACATGTGATTTTAAACACATTGATAATGCGCCGGGCTCAACAGATATGGGCAAGTCTCAAACCTCTCTTAAAACAAAGCTCATCTTCTAACCAATATCGCTATTTCAGGTAACGTAACATACGAATGTCCCGGTTTTCATGGTTGGTATGGAATCTCCGATACAGCATTTAATCACACTCCTCAATTCACACAAGCAGCCGCTACAAAAGAAGCTCATGATATCACTATTTTGACGGCTAAAGCTATGGCGATTGTGGGGTGGAAAATTCTCACAGATGATGAGATTGCAGAGAGTGTAAGGAAAGATTTTGAGGAGGATAAGATCTTGAGGCAGAAGCCCAGGGGTGTGGTTTCTGTGGGTGGTGCTTGTTGAGGGAAAGCTTGTTAGATTGATCGGCTCGATGGATAGGAATGTCATTGATGCGGATAAGCAAAGATAGTAGCTTTAATGGAGCATCTCAATTGGATTGAGTGTTTTCGATATAAAGTAGTCAGTCCATTATTGCTCGGCATACATTCCCCACGCCAACATTCTATCCCATTCCACGTGAAGATAATAATCTCCAATTCGCTATTGCCCAGATATCCACTTATCCACGTATCGGCAAAACACTCTAATAACTGCTCCATAAACTCCTCACGATATCGAGACTCAATTTGAAAAGTTCATCTCATTTCCCACCTCATATACCTACCATTCTTATCTAAGAAACTTGGCTCTAGAATCAACCTCTCGCTTGTATATTCACTTCACACCTATCTATAAATCTCCTTTGCTTTGTTTTGTCAAACGATTATTCCCAACTCCTTATCTGTATCTCCAAAATAAATACCTCATCATCCCGTCATGAAACACCAGAAACAATCGTCTTTATTCACCCCTCATCACTTTCTTAAGCGATACGTGCCCCTTGACCACCTCGTTAGTATCGAGCTAGGCTAATTTGTATATTGATGGATATAATCTCTGGTATATTATTATAACATGTGTTCGATTACAAAGCGGTTTATTTCTTGTTCTTCGTGTATTCATTTATTCATTTACGTAGTCATTTGTTTATTTATCCATTCATCATTCATAACCCATCCCCTCCAAAAAATCCCAAACCACACCCTAAACTTTTCTTTTCTTTTCCTTTTCTTTCCAATCGCCAAATTAAATCATGTCAAACTAAGCTTATATTCAGACTTACAATTTTATCCCTATTCACTGATTCCATCTCTTCATACCATAACAACATTTTCATCTACCTCCTCACAAGACTTCTTTCCCCTGTTTTTTTCTCACAATGCCTTCTTCCTTGCTAGTTTCTCCTTACTTTCTAAACCCAAGTTTGGGCAATTTAACCCCTATCGTTATACCAAAAGATAAAACACTTACCGCCAACGCAAATATATACGCGGCTTTTAGTGCTTCTGCGTAGGAATCGATTACTTGATCTCGGTAGTGGGGTTCTAGTCCTGCTACTGCTTGGACGGAGGAGCGGACTGCTTCGATTACCTATTTATTGATTTATTTGTTAGTTTTTCACTTGGACTATAAGTGAGTAGATCCTAGAGAGGATGTAGAAAAAACAGAGAGAACAAGAAGAAAGAAATACCTTCTCCTTATCCGGACCCACAACATTCACATTCAAAAATCCCACCAGCGAATTCTGCACAATCAGCGAACTGACCGCCACCCCCAAAACCTGTCCCATACACCTCCACAAGACCAATGTCGTTGTAACAACCGCTTGTTCCCCTTGTTCACTCACGGCCAAAACACTCATGAAACTTCCCGGCATTTGGAATCCTTGGCCCATACTCGATGGAATCAATAGTAATACGTATGCCCAATTTGGCAATGAGCGATTCATAGCTACTAATCCTATAGTTCCGATAACGTAAAGAGAGACACCGAGGACCAAGGGAGTTTTCAGGTTGCGAGTCCAGGTAATGAGAAAACCGGTTAGAGTACCGATTGCGCTGGCGGCGATGGAGGGGATGATGAGACGGAGACCGGATGCGGTGGGGGATTCGAGGAGAACGGCTTGAAAATAGAGGGGGATGTTGAAGAGGACTGCGTTGATTACGATGGCGCCGAGGGCGTTGCCGACGATGAGGGAACCGCGGGGGTTATGGGTTATGAGGGAGAGGGGCATAACGGGTTGGGGGCGTAGTATTCGGTTATGATGAATAGGGGAAGACCGATGATGGTGAGGATTATACAGGTGAGGATTAAAGGGTGTGTCCAGGGGTAGATATTGCCGCCGAGATTCTGATGGGTGTCAGATTGTGTTGTACACATATGTGGAAGGAATTTGACAGGCTTCTGGGAAGGTACTTACGATTGCGAGTATGAAGAAAGTAATAGTGGCCATCAGTAACAATGACCCTTTATAATCAAAAACACTCAAAGCCTCCTTCAACGTTTTCTTCCCCCTATTCAAACCCAAATCATTCGGTATAACAAAACACGAAACAATCAAGCAAAGAATCAACCCGGGAACCTGAACCCCAAATTCCCATCTCCATCCAAGATGATCCGCAATCGCACCACCTAGTGCCGCACCGGAAGCTGCTCCAATTCCAAAGACGATATTGAGATATGATTGATACGCTCCTCGGATCTCAATGGGTATGAGATCACTTGTGATAATCGATCCCATGGACATAACACCTCCAGCACCCAAACCACAAACTGCTCTTGCAATAATGAAACTCGTCATACTTTGAGCAAGAGCACACCAAATTGTCGATACTAGGAACAAAATCATGGAAAAAATATACGGAGGTTTTCTACCCATAGCATCGGAGAGACGCCCAAAAATAGGTTGGAAACTGGTGGATGTGAGGAGAAATGCGGTGGATAACCATGATGCACTATTAGACGCATGAAAATATGAAGTGATGACTGGATGACTCGAAACCATGATGGTAGAATCAAATGAAGATAATGTATATGTTAAAAGCACACCACCGAAAATGAGCCAAAATCTCTTTACCCCAACACCACCTAGAAATGGGGATTTGGGTTCCTCGTCTTCGTCCTCGATGGTTTCTCGTATACTCCTGATAGAACCAGAGATGGATTTCCGTCTCGTGCTTACACGACTTGAATTTCTCGATCCTCGTTTGGTATGGTGGTGAATTCGAGAGCTTCGAAACATAGATGATTCTTGAGGATTGGTTTCGATGCCAATGGCTGTAAATGATGTTGTTCTCGATAACATCAGGTCGAATTCATTGGGATCGATGTCGGTTCCTGTTGAATCACCATCATTGTCCACCAATACTTCTTCAATGGCGGGTGTATCGCTTCTTGGTGGAAAGAGAAGTGGTGTAGTTTCTGTGGCGGTATGGGATGAGGTATTGTGACCACCAGCTCGATGATTGTTTTCCGCCATAATGTCTCTCCTCTGTACGAAACCGATAATACTCAACAAAAGTTCAAACAAAGTCAACCATCAGAAAATAATGATCAACATATATATAGACACACCAGCACTCCCAAAGCGAATTCGGAGTCACCGCCAAATGGAGCAGTCATTTTTTTCTCGACACCCTCACAATCATCTACAAGGTAATTGCTGACCCCAAACTCCTCCACTTTCCTCCAGAGGTTAGAGGGGATGGGAAATATATAACCCTGTGACCCTCTATATAACGCAATCGTGCTACGAAAACCCCTCATCCCTTTTGATCCATCAAAGAAAAGAATTCACCGAGTGAGTCAGTCCCGCTTTCATACATAGCACGTACATACGATGCACCTAGAGAAGAGGGAACAAGGATTTTAGGAAATGCAATGTTAGATAGCAGTTGCATCCATCCACCAGTGACACTCGTCGCACCATAACGGGTGAAGGACTTTCGTGACGGGGAACCTATCAGCGCAAAGTATGATTTTCCCGCTTCGTCTCTTGGGGTGAGATGGATGTAGCATATATGAGATTTCGATTATTCATACAATTGAACGTTGTGTTTTCTGATTGAACAGGTCTTATGCGATGACTTAGAATAATGTGACCTTCTTTAGCTATCTATCTCTTGAAGACGGGATCCCATTCTAGAACACTCTACACGCATTTCCATCTAATACAATACATTCAATCATGATCATGCAAAGGGCGCGAATCAACAATCAACAATCACTCGCTACAAATACAACCCCAGGCTTTCTACTCAAAGTATTCTGCATGCAAACATGGATATACTGCAGACCTCGGGAGCCATCATAAGTACGGATAATATTCGGTCAAACACAATACCCGTTATCGATAAGAGAAATCATAGCACGCCGAGCCAAAAATATCCCGGAGCAATATCGGACTTGATATCATATCAAACAGACAATCTGTTTACCAAATATTAATTCAATCTTTTGACTTATCTATTTCCCATAAGAATAAACATTGCCGTTCAAGATCCCTCTCGTTGTCATCTTGGAATTCACACTCACTTTCATTGATCTATATCTATATCTATATCTATATCTATATCTATATCTATATCTATATCTATATCTATATCTATATCTATATCTCTATCTCTATTCCAAAAAAACAAGCAGCAAAACAGCACATCTTACATCCAATCACCATGCCTCCACCCCCCCTGCGCATCGCAATCCTCGAATGCGACACCCCCCTCCAAAACACCAATTCCAAATACGGCGGATACGGCGGGGTATTCACCTCGCTCCTCCACCGGGGAGCCTCATCCCTCTCTCCTCCGCTCGCAGAATCCGCTCTGCAGATCACCAAATACGATGTCGTAACCGCGCAGGAATATCCCCCTCTCTCTTCTATCGACGCAATTCTCATTAGCGGAAGTCGCCATACGTCTTTTGATTCCGATGCGTGGATAGTGAAATTGGTGGAGTTTGTAAAGGGGGTTTTGGCACAGGAGAGAGTGCGGCTTGTGGGAGTGTGTTTTGGACATCAGATTATTGGGAGGGCGTTGGGGGTGAAGGTGGATCGGAGTGATCGGGGGTGGGAGGTGAGTGTTACGCCGGTGGAATTGACAGGGAGGGGGAAGGAGATTTTTGGGTTGGAGAAATTGGTATGTTGATTTATTTATTTCTATCTCTATTTCTAGCTCTAGCTCCATTGCTTTGATTTGATTTGATTTGATTTCATACATGAAATGGGAGTTGGGAGTTGAGAGAAGGGGAGGAATACTAAAACTAACAAATCAAAAGAATATATTCCAAATGCACAAAGACATCATCTACGAATATCCTTCCGAAGTCGAACAGTTAGCATACACAGATAAATGCGCCACGCAGGGAATGTACATTAGCAAAAAACTCATCACGGTCCAAGGACATCCCGAATTTACAGAGGAGATAGTGAGGGAGTTGTTGGAGGCACGACATGCATCGGGGGTTTTTGACGATGAGACTTATAGGGATGCGGTGGGGAGAGTGGACAAGGAGCACGATGGTGTGAAAGTAGCGCAGGCATTTTTGAAATTTATCATGGAGGATTAGATAGGCGTTCTCTTGGAATTGGAATACTGGTGCTAGAATAGATAGTCGTGCATTCCACTATCAGTGAATGTGTCTGTCCTGATCTTGAAGCATGTGCTCAGGAAAGTCCTAACGTTCACTCCATCCATTGAGCATTCAGATCACAATCATCAAATAACTCATCACTCAATCTACCCAAGAAATTCTTCCCATCCCTCCCCATCAAAACTTTGCTCCTCCATCTTTAAACTCTACATCCCACGCACTCCACCACCTCTCCTGACAATTTGATCCTCAACCCCAAGATTCTACTCCCTCCAACCCATGTCCGCTTCCAACATCGCATACCCAGAAGCGAGATGTATTGAAAGTCCATTCCATCTAGCGAGGAAATCAACATGAATCTTCCCAGTCACATTCACATTCACAAAGAATTGGCGTTTTCAGAGCATACCTAATCTAAGTATTTCTTTCTCGGGTTCGAAGATCATCTATCTTATCCATCTCCTCACATCTCCTCATATCCCTCATTACATCATTACATCATGCCCTCACATCTCCACTCATCAAAAACATAAATAAATCAATAGAAAAACATCATTAATAAAACAAGAAACCCCTCTCCAAACCCTATTTACATATTTACATACACCCATCCATCCATCATTCGAAGCATAAATAAAAAAAAGAACCTCCAAATCCCATCCACATGCTAACCAACCGAGCAACCAACCCATTCCTATATCCCGAGGTATTTCCTTTCTTCCGTGGTGTGGTATAAGTAAGATCTCTGCTTCGTGTTCCCATGGTATCAATCAAAAACTCTTCTTTTCTTTTCCTCTCTTGTATCATCCCCCTTCTTCATCCGCACCCCTCCTTATGTATTAATTTTTCTCCTTCTTTCCTTTCTTACATCCTCATCTTCCCTCCTAATCAATCTCCTACTCCCCTTCCCCTAATTCCTCTTAACCGCATTCCCCACACTACTAATCCCCTCGCTAATCCCCTCACTAATCTTCGAACTCCACCCTCCCATCCATCGAGGAACCGTCATCGTCAACCTAATCCTGCCCTCCACAATCGCCTCCACACAATTAATAATTCCAAACGCACTCGATCCCACCGCTCTAAAGAGTGCCAAGGCCGCCACCGCCCACAGAAGAAAGGTCAAGTAATAATTCGTCCCCAAGTGATCCGGTCCATAAGCTTCACTAACAGCCATTGCCAACGTACCATTTGCAATCATCCAGACGAGAACCATGTACGTACGGACACTCTTGTAGTAGTCTTCCTGCTGTTGCGATTCCGAGATAGGAGGAACGGGGACTTCGAGTCTGTCACGGAGATTGCGAAGAGCTTCATCATAGCCGGAATCGATATCGAGTTGCTCAGAGGGCATTTCGAGTTCAACCGTTTGACCCTTTCCAGAAGCGGCTCCAAGATCGTTGGACATGACATTGTCACCTTTAGTTCCCCATGTAACATCGTGAGTATTGCAAAACGCGTAGACTTGAAGTGTACAGATGTAACTTGGAAGGAGGGCGAAGTAAGACCCAGAACTGGTGAACATATGCCAAGGATCGAGATAGAGGAAAGACATGAGGAAGTAGAGGCCTATTGTTGAACAAAGCGATACGACAAGATTGGTGAAGAGATTATTGCCAAGCACGAGACTTTTGGCATTATCGTGGACTTCTCGGTAAACGATATAAATGGTGGAGAAGAGTGTGTATACCATGATTATCGAGTAAATGATCATGGACATGTAGTATAACTTTCGTGCTCCTTGTGGTCGATTTCCCATAGATAGAATGAATTGTGTGGCGGTGAGAAGAACACAGACATATTTTAGGACATAAAATATATATTTTCCGATACTGTGACCAAATGGATCCATATTGTCAACAGATAGGGAACCGGCAATGAAGTAGAATGTGAGGTAGAAATTGGCCAGAGAAAAGTAAGTGAAGAGAAGTTGAATGAATTGATAAATGAATTCAACGTGAAGGAGAATCTTTCGTCCGAGGGTATGATCGGTATGCCATACTTGTTTAAAATGGGCCAGAGAATAGACAGCTGCGAAGAAAGCTCCATTAAGCCATCTTCTTCTTTGCGATACGAATTCAGGAACAGTATCTAAAACAGGATCAGTAAATTCCATAGCAACAGGAGCAATTCAACTTACCTGGCACATCAGTCTCTCCAGTACATCCCTTCACATATTTCAAGACCCATCTTTCATCTCTCTTAGCCACCAATTCCCAACACAAAATACGATCCTCAGCCAAATACATATTTGCCGTGAAGACATCTGCATTTTGACCGTGTAGCGTTTCTCCCTTGAAATATTGACTCAGTGGACCATGACCGGTATGATCATTCTGTAAAGCATGATATCTGTATGCACTCAATGCACCAGGCAAAACAGTGATGTAACCAAACACACTCTCAATAGGCTTGTCAAGAATATTCGACATCTTATACTCAAAATTTTGAGACGCCACCAAAGGATTGAGAAGACCCATCCATCCTTTCCCTTTCATAGCTTTGATTTCTCCACAAGCACCAGCAACATTAGAGTCGGTATCAAAAGCTTTCCACAAATGATAAAGCGAATTGCCTCCAGGTTTCGTACCCACATCCAACATGATGCAAATATTCGGTGTGAGAGCTCTTCCAAAAGCATTGAAGAACCAACGATGGGAATTCAATTTCTTTGCATTCTTCTCCTTGAGACAAAAAAGCATCTGACAAGGAACAATTCCCTTTTCAGCACCTTTGAACTTGAGGTCCGAATCCAAAGAAACTTGAGTCGTATACTCATACACATGAGCTTGGACTTCTCTCCCATTAACCAAATTCTTAGCAATTCCATCTTGATAAACACCCATAGCCGCCAGAGCATCGAGGGTTCTCGGATGAATTTTCTGTCTACCATCGGAAATAATAGCAACCACAATCTTTTGCCATCCATTTTCTCCCCACGTTCTAGATTTCGATCGAGAACAGAAATGTGAGATGTTCTTCATAACAGCATGCATCGTTCGCGTGAAATCAATTTCCGTCTCATTGTACATGGTAATACAGATGAAAAGTTCGGTTTCTCTAGCCGTGGCTCCCATATTTTGACGTAATTTGTAACCTTTCGCGACAAAATCATCGGGATCGCATGTAACGGCTGTATATCGCATATGTGTGAATTCGATTTCATCTCTTCGGGGTAAGAAACTGTAAAGAATGGTAGGGATTTTACACTCCAAAATCAGTTCTCCGTTGATAAGTTTGACTTCTCGTTTCTTCATTTGAGTCGTCCTATTAGCACCCCTTCGTTCTTGTTTTCCGGAAGGTGCGGGCCCATAATGTTCGTAGTCCTTTGCACTTTCCATATCATCACCAAAAGTCGAATATGATTGTCTCGACCTCATAGTTCCTCCCACGTCCCTCTTTTCCGGCCCAAAATTATCCTCATCTAACATTTCTTCTTCATAATCGTGTTCGAGCGGTATATGAATCGTTGCGTCATCTCCAAATGGTGACCGAGCACCGTGAGCCGCGAATAACGGAGCTGGAGGTAGTGGTCTTCTTGGACTTCCCCCATAAGCTGTTGAAGGTGTGCCAGGTCTTGGACTTCCATTCAAGTCCGATGGCTCATATTGATAACCCATTGGCGGCGGCACGTTGAATTCCGAAGAATTCCTTTCTTCTCTAATTGGAGACCAAGTTCGCGTGGGAGAAGCTCGACCGGAGGGTGAATATTGTAGGGGGGAATATGGGCGATATGCGCTTTCGGGAGGAGGTAAATCTGGGACGTTGTCTATAATTGAAGGCGCTCTTCGATGATCGTCATATGTGGTTGCCGTAGGAGGTCTTCTGTGGTCATCGTAGGTATTAATTGATGGAGGTCTTCTATGGTCGTCGTAGGTATTCATTGATGGAGGACGCCTATGGTCGTCGTAGGTGTTCATTGATGGAGGACGTCTATGATCGTCATATGTATTTATCGACGGAGCTCTTCTATGATCATCGTACGAATCTGTGGACATAACAGAAGCTTGATAAGATCTGCGATCGGAGGAAGTACTAATATTTTTCAACAGTGAGCTTTTTTTACCTCTCAATTGCGATTTCAAAGTAGACAAAGGAGAGGAAACCGGGTGCCTAAGAGATCTTCGACGGGAAGGGCCATCTGGAAGAACAGGCAAGAGATGCGCGATATCATTGGGGTCATGGGCACTCATAGCTGTCGCTGATATCTCGACTTTTGTTTGCAACTTGCAAGATGAGATGACTTCCTCTTCTTCTTCCTTGCGAGACGCGAGATGCTCTGGGGTCGCCACGGACACGGCTGGAGGGGGTTTCCTGGGAGATAAATGAAGAGCTCGCGGAGCGAGTGGTACTACATACGGACGGGTATCGGGATCATCGTAGGAAGTTAACAAACGAATTTCGGAGCCATGTCGATTATGACCTGCAGGTATTGAATCATATTCATCTGGATATGTCTCTGAATACATTGGAGGCATCGAGGGCGTATTTGAGCGATCCATATTTAAAATTATGCTTATTGTGATTTGGGGAGTGAATTTTGCGACGGAAATGCGCCAATTCCAATCTTCTTTGGGGGGAATGCGAATGAATGTTTACTCTTCCATGAATGGATTTGGAATGGTTTGCGTGAGAAGCGAATGTTTGGTGTAAATATTGATATTCTTTGGGGAGTTTGAGTCTCAGAATTGGCTTTTCCAAGGTTTCTTTGGATTCAGATTCAAGTTCAGATTCAAATTCAATTCCCCAAATCCAATTCCAATATTCAAAAAAATAAAAGTGTAATGACTATCGATTATCATGGACCAAGTGGAGAGAGGAAGTATGTAGGTATGTAGGTACCGGACGGGTACAGGACAGGACAGGACTTTCTTTCGTAGACACGCAGCATCCAATTTTCCTCTAGGGCAGACAAGGCAAGGCACGCAAGCAAGCATGGGAGGGAACGAGGGAAAGAGGGAAAGAGGGTAAAGAGG